AAAATTGACGGTTCAATGAAAAGTCGAGTCTGTCCAATTCAAGATGTAGCCAAGTCGGTTTTTGGTCCAACTTTTAAGGCCCGAGACACGTCGGTCCGGTCCGGATCGTGAACCCGCCCGCTTGATTGCCACCTCTAGCGAGTTTATGATAATGCACAAAAATTTTAATTGTAGGTGTGTATCTATATCTGTATAAAAATGTATGAATTTATTAAAAATAGTAAGATTTTTCGTTAAAAAAATATCGCTTATAATTAAGATTTTTTTTTTCAAATATTTTTTTTACTTTTTTAAAAATTTATTTTTGATAATTTTTTTTATCATTTTTTGTGAGACTTTTATTATTTTCTGTAGATAATGTGTGTAAGATTTTAATTTGTTGCACTCATCTTATTATGAGTGGACTTAGCCCATGCCTGCCAGCATTCAGTCAAGTGAGGTACTATGCTTCTAAGCCATTGCAGACTCAAGAATAGTCCACAATGCTCGCATTTATATATTGGATAGGGGTTAGAGTTCCCAAATAAGTGAATTTACGTATAATAATTAATATAAATATATCATTAAGTAAACCATATAAGCATACACTTTCGTATATATTATAATCCGGAGCCGAACTTCTCAAAATTTCTACTTCTTCTAGTCTATGATCCACCGGTGGATCCACTATCCTCGAGCCCTGCGGCTGTGCCAATTGGGCCATCACGGCCTCAACTATCATACAATCTAACTATTCCTTTGTAACCCTTAGAACCTACTTCTATCACCTATCCTTTATTGGTCTACACCAAGGGCCCTAGAATACTTACTTACCATAAGAATTAGTTTGTTGCACCGGGACTCAGGTACTAAAGAGGTGTTTCGAGGACTACTCACTTGGACGATCACTTGATTTTTCTGTTGCACCGATGGGCAGATTGTTCCACACGCCGGGGCAAGTTGAGTGTTAGGGTGATCGGAGATAGACATGATTTTGGAAATCCTAGTGGTGGTCCTATTCCTAAAGTATGATTTACCACACAAGCCTTTGTGATTATCCACCATATTATTCATCATAGTTACATCGTTCGCCATCTTTGTGTACTACAACTAATTGAACAAAATTCCCATGGACGATGTTAATTTGATGTGTTCTACACCTTCAGTTAAGCTCGATCGCTCTTGAATTCTTTTGATTACCTGCAAAAAAAGAGTTGAGAGAGCTCTTGGCATAAGACATTTGACGCTCAAGTCAGTTCCTCTCAAAGAGTTGTTTTGTGGGCCAATGTTTTATACAAATTTTCACATGTGTTAAGAGATACTTATAACACAAGAAGTTACCTCGTTATCTAGATAACTTGAGCATTCTGAATTTCCCTATTTCAGGCGAAGATCTTCCGAGAATTCTCCTCTTCCACGCATACACATTTCTTTATTCTTTCAAGTACAACGTGACTTACCTTATCTACTTTAGATAGATGATCCTTATTCCTCCTTCGCATGTTGACACCGACTTGGACTATGGTCAGGCCACACACGACCCTCAATCCAACTTGATTAACCAGCTCGAGCATGATCAGGTCATCCAAGTACCCTAACTCAACCTATCTATTAACTTTGTACCGACCACTTAACTAACCCGCCGTAGGTCGTAAATCCTTCATGGACGAACCCAGTCCAACCGAGCTATGTAGAAGGGATCTAGTCGACAACATTAGTAGTCATACTTTTCATTAGATTTGATATTTTTAAATTGAAATGTCATTACTTAATAAATAATATAGAAATATGACATTTCATACCATAAATACGCATTTTGTTTAAAAACTTGTGAATGGCTGACTAACCTAACTATTAAGTTGTCTTATACAAGAATTTAATGTCACTATTAAAAAAAACATGTCCACCTAATAGTTAATTTGAAGAACAACGCTACTATCAAACTAAAAATGGTGAATTTAACATTGCCTAACAAAAATATGACTACGAAGATATAGAATTTCATATTAAAATGTTATTAATAAAATAACATAAAACGGCTATTTAACTCATCTTTTAAATAGAGATATTTCACTCTAGTAACATACTCTTTGCATAAAACTGACGCAGCTTTTACAGTCAGATGGCCTAATAATGGTGGATGGATCCGGCCATATTTTTCTTAATAAAATTGGACACTATTATTGCTGCTATATATTATAATTTAATTTATGTTATTTTAAAATTAAGTCAATTAATATTCTAAGAAAGTATGACTCTCAGCTATGTCTGATGATTATTGTGTTAAATATTCCAAGAAGCAGTATCGGAGGTCACCTAACTTCAGTAGAAGCACAGGAGCTTCTATTTAGTAAAGCCGAAAAAGGCTGTGCTTCTTAACAACAACCCACCAAAATATACAGATTGAATCAAATTAAGTCATCTAACCAAATTTTCACCAATGACATAGAACAAATTAAGCTTATAAATCAACTTCAAAGAAAAAATAGCATAATTAACTATGATTTTATTTACAAATTTCAATCCATGTGTGTGGAAGTAAAAAAAAAAAAGAAAAGAATGCACACTCTAAACATGTGGGCACAAAGCAAAATTGGTGGCCAGAAAAAGCCTGAGTCAGTTTAAGAGTAGAAGGTACACGTGCTACACCACCTGCACTCCACAGCACACACTCTACTCATGACCCAGTGCCGTTACAATTTCCCCTGCACAATTTTTGATTCTCTGCAATTTTATGGCATTCCCAATTATTATCCACCCAATAATTGTCCTCCCTTTTGATTACTTTTCTTTCCCAGTCAAACCACTCAATAGTAAGTCCACATGGCTCACTCTTATTGGCTGCATAATAAGTAGAATCCCGAATTTGGCCCTATGGGGCAGATATAGGGTCATAAGTTCAATTTAAGGTTTTCAACACACTTATGGGAAAATAAAAAACCCAATTATATGAATCAGTGATTTTTCCTGCATTCTGTTATGACTGAGAGATGTTTTCTTTTTGCCACTTGTGGAGGATTGTACTTTTAATATTTTTGTGTATTTATTTGTTTTTTCTTCATTTTTGAAAAAAGATCCTACCCAAACAATAGGAACCAAAGCCCCACAATGTGTTTACTTTATCCTTTTTTTTACCCCCTTTTTCTCAATATTTTTGTCTCATCGGCAATTGTGGCGCTTCTTGATAACTGCTTTGTCATCTTCTAGAAAGAAATAAATGGATAGACTACGAGAGAGAGTAAAGAGGTACTAGAAATCAGTAGAATATTGTTGACAGAAAGGTATGGTGTTTCTGTTTTGCTTCTTTTTCCTCGGAGAAGGTGAAAATGACCATTTTTTTTTTTACTCTTTAAGGGAACAACAATTTCAATCGGCCAGAAGATAATCTGAGAAGGGCCAGGGGAAAAAAGGTCCTTAATTTTCACTGCCCCTATTTTTCGTTCTTCTCGTCATTTGCTAAATTGATTGAGCCTTGTACTGGGATTTTTAACCCCTCATTCTTTATTCTTCTGTTTTGCCATTTTTATTCTCGTCAAGAAATCAATTATTTCTGACTGGGC